CCCCTTAAGTTAAAAGAAATTATTTCCTATAGTATTTCATTAATGATAATTTAATAATTTTAACATATAGTTCAACCTATAAAACTTGAATTTCATTTCTAATACTCTAATTTTCTATTGTATATCATATTCCTTGAGTACAATTTTTTAGCCTCAAAGATTTTTAAACATAATCAAATTAACCAGGGTTTAATTGTTTAGTTAAACAATTATCTTATTCATTTCACAAGAATCATTCTCATTATTTTTATATCTTGAATTAGGTATTAAACAAAATTAGTTGTTTGGATCAAATTGCATGAATCCATAAATCTGATACTAAATTGAACATATATTGATTTACGGGTCGAGCTAATTTCATCTAATAATAAAACGCTGGACTGGAATCGATTTACATAAATTGAAATGATTAAAAGTTAAGGAGCTGTTCTGCACCTTTAATTGGAAGAACTGAAAAGGCTAACAAGCCAAAACGGTGTCATTTTGACGCCTGAAATCGCGAATTAGAAACTCGGATCAGGGTCTCTGAAACCCTAAATTGCAGAGCACAAAAGGGGATTTTCCCTCTCAACCCATCTCTCTTTGTCTTTCTCTTTCTACGTACGGTTTTTAATTTCTGATCTGAAATTCGACATTCTCCGAGATTTCCCCCTTTAATTGAAACGGGGATTTTAATTTTCATCAACAGTCATCGAAGCTGCAGACGGAGACCAGAAACAATGGCTTAATTGATTTTGAGACTTACATTAAATAGGGGTTTAGATTTTGAGGGATTTTGAAGGGGAATTTGCAAGAGAATCACCAAACCGAAACCGGAAGATGGAAACCCCAGAAACAAAACCTCAAAGCTGGAGCTCCTCGCCGGCGCTGCCAACATCAGTGTCGAGACTATGGAGGCCGGCCGCTCAACGGAACCTGAGGAACCAATGGTCAAAATTGGCTTCTTATAGGAAACAGTGGCTTTCTTCTTCTTCCCTCGGAAGATCTCACGCCACCTCTCTCGTCAACGCTTATTTGTCTCAAAAGTATTGACATTAGCTGCCTGCATTTCGTATTTTCTTTTTCAATTCTTGGATTTTTACTATGTGGGGTTTTTGGTTTATGTGGTTATGGTGTCTTTGCCCACTAGTTGTCTACTATTGCAATCTGGGTTGTCTTTAATTTCATATTTCATATGGAATTTTATTTTTCTATCTTTTGGTAATGTCATTTATGTTTGTTTTAGAATGTAATGAATGGGTGAACTACGATGATTCAGATACATGCCACTAATGGAGCTTGGTGCTCTAAGTGATATGCCGGATATTCGAAAGAAGGCTTCGTTGAAGTTGTTTAAGCAGCAAGTGGGTAACAATTTCCCTTTAATTTATTGTTTTGATGATTATGCAAGGCGTGGTTTTGCTTTGTCCTGCATTTTACATGCTTGTTTACATTAAACTCATTGGAATTTCAACAAAGTAAAATGATACGTAACAAGCTTGGCCTAAGAACTTATTTTTATGGAAAGTCAAAATCGCATTTCACAGCTAAACCAATGCCTAACTTGAATCTTGTTCCAGGAGCTTCATGGTAGCAACCTTCTGTCATCTTACAAGGATATGGTATGTATGTTTTTCTGAAGCATCACACCAAAGTTTATTCTTTATTTCCTTCAAGTTTAAATGAAGCTGCTAAATAGTAACTATGGGCTAAATCAACTGCAAAGGCTAATGTGAGAAGAACAATAACCATGGGGATGAATTATGCAAATTCACCTTTGTATTTATATACCATAATCGTTAATCATATGCCATTGTGAATTTAATATAATTTGATTCTTTTCTCTTAGAGTAATTTGGTTAAACTTTTATTTTCTTTGTTTAAACTTTTATTTTCTTTGTTTAATATATTCTTTACAGGTAACTGTTATAAAACATATGGTTGATGCTGGGAGATCCATGAGATGCTTTCTAAAAGGGACTTCTGGCAGTCCACTTGTACAATTTTCTGGTACTTCTGAGGATAATAATGATGCTGGTGATGGTGGTGGGATCCCAGTTTTTGCATTTTGGTCAATTTCTTCCTTCGGTATGTCATATCTGCAGTTACTCGGCACTGCATCCAATTTTATGGCATTACTCTCAATCAAGCAATATTTATTTATTTCATAAAAGATTTTTTATTATTCTTATCAAGCTGGAATATATATTTTAACAATCACGATTTCTCTCTTTAGTTGGGAACTCAACCTTTGAAGATTCAACAATTATTGGTATCACATGAAAATTTAGTCAAATCATGTCAAAGAGATTTGTTTTACTGAGAACAAAGTTGATTTGATACCATGAAAGCTTTATATGAAGTTTTATGTTAGTATGACATTATCTCACATATACAATTGGAAAATTTTGATTTTTAATGATCTCAGAAAAATTGGCAGAGGAGCTTGTTCAGATGTTCAAGTTGGAACTAAGTTTGAAGGTGAATTTCTGGACACTTTTACTCTGCTACAGGGCTTATATTCAATTTGGACATTTTGGATCAATTTCTTATAATAATTATATCCTTATTCTTCTTGGTAATGTTTGGCTTATGTAGCGATTACTTGTAGTCGAGTTACTATCCGTTAGTTGTGAAGATCAACAAGTCAACAAGGTTTGTTGGTCAGATGAGCTTTATCCAGGAGAATTTAACGATTTGGTTATATGCAACTTGTATTCCGAAGATAATTCTGAGCCAGTTCATCCACAATTGAAGGAATGCAAAACTGATGTGCCAGCTGTACCACACAACAGTCAGCCAGACCATGAAACCTTGCAGGTGACTATTTAACCACTGTACAATCAACATGTCTGTTAGCATGCAGGGGTATTTGTTTCTTAGTGCAGCACGTATTGTATACATAGAAAGGAGGGTTGCAACTCCTCATATAATAAATAAACAAAAAATTAAGTGTGCTTTTTGTTGTAGGTGTATCTGACAACATGGCTTGCAGAGGTGAACATAGATGCTCACAGGTAAAGAATAGATTCATAAACACCAACAGCAGCATAGAACACACATGTATAATTCTAACATCAGACCTGGATAATTCACACAACTAACAATTTGTCATTTCATGTTAATTATCTACAGGGTAGATGAAATATTTGCAATAATTGGGGAGGAAATGCATGTTATGCTCTCATAAAAGCATCTTTCCATTTGAAAAACATCAAGCCCTGGTTAGATGCAGTGATGTGGTTCATTTTTCTCAAGCATTTCGGCTCAACATATTAACTGAGTTATGTGGGTGGAAGGTCTCGTGTCATAAATAGAGGAATTACAATTTCTCCTCAGCGGATGAGATCCTTTAAACGGAAAACGAACATGTTAATGGTTGACAAGAGGGGAGGGAGGGCGGGGGTGTGAATCTCAAAAAGGCAATTCGTTACTGGACTGCCTTTGTTGCAGTAGTCCTTCTCAAACACCTCATTAATGCTCAAGAGATGTTCATGGCCAAAATTTTCGTTGTTGGAGAATTTCTGAAATTATTGAGTCAAATTCCATTTTCTTGAAAATTATGGATGTTGTAGGGTTGAGTGTTTGGAATAGAGGTTTGAGTTTAGCCGTTTGTACTAATTAGATGAATAAGAAATAAGAATATTTAAATTGTATAAGATTTATTAGGGGTATTTT